TTTAGTTAGATAATCGTTTTCTTTATCTAAAGAGTACCAACCCCTTCACTTAGGTTTTAGTTGGGATGGCTTTCTTACTGTTTCTTAAAGCAGTTTTTTAGTATAAAAAAATTTATTTGATGTACTAGAAAGCTGTTTTAAGAAGTAATAAGAAAGTCATCCCAAACGAAGCCTTAGGCTTTTTTCAGAACAACTTTCTCATTGATTTTTAAAGCAGGTTTTAGTATACAAATCCGTAAGCAGTTTTTTAGTATACAAATTCATTGTATTAGAAAGATGTTTTAGGTTTTGTTTGAGACTAATTTTTTTCTGCTTATTAAAGCAGCTTTTTAGTACAAAATTAAAAAGCTGCTTTAAGAAGCAGTAAGAAAGACGTCCCAAACGAATCCTTAGAAACTAAATATTTAAAATGAAATAAAAAAATAACCCGAAAATTTTAAATAGAAAGATAGAAAATAGATATTAATATTTACAATTGATATTAATAAACTATAACAATATAGAATATAAAATTTTAAAAATGATTTAAAATAGATATTGATATTGGTAAAAATTAAAATATTATTTTACTATAAAATTTAAATAGAAAGACAAAAAATCACCCGAAAAATTATATAAATGTTTTTTTATTACATGAGTAGAATTAATATTTTCATCTCTACATTACGTCCCAGCTTTTCATAATCTATACCAATAGTGAAAATCAATGATACGCTCTATATGTTGCAATGTTTGGCGGTTTAAAAAGCACTTAATAGAGGATAACATTTGTGACGGTTTACAAACACTTTCTAAGAATTTTTTTTATAAATACTAGATTTTAGCCATATAATAAATGATAAAACTTTTTGAAAAGCTGACTAATAATGATAAAAAGACATTGATTGAAAGGTGAATTAAGCTTCATTTGAAATGATTTTCTTACAATTTTTTACAACAATTTTTTAGTAAAAAATTTAAAAAAAAAATTATACTAAAAATCTAATTTAAGAAATATTAAAAAATTCATCCCAAATAAAGTCTTGCTTTTTAAGGCAAATTTTTAGTACAAAAAATAAAAATTTGTACTAAAAAATTATTTTAAGAAGTAGTAAGAAGCCATCTCAAACAAAGCCTTAGTCTCGTTTGGATCAATTTTTTAATTGTTTTTTTTAAATAATTTTTTAGCATAAAAATTATAGTTCCAAAATTTTTTGCACTAAAAAATTACTTTTAAAAAGGTGAAAGCTATCCCAAACAAAACTTTAAATAATATTTCTCCATACTCCAACCATTTGATATTTGGGGAGGTTTTGCATAATAAAAGCTAAAATAAAACAAAACAAGAAATCCTCTCACATCAATTTTCAACAATAAAAAAATGAAATAATATAAAACAAGGTCTCTAAATGTATAAAAATTCCTTCAACCTAACATTAATTATTTATATAAATAAATAAATAAATAAACCATTTTAGGTAAGCTATCAACAAAAAATTGCATGAAATTTTAATGAAAATGATCCCATCTGTCATTTTCCAAAAAAAAAATTGAAGTAATGTGGCAATATAAGCATTCCCATTGACTTCAATAGATGAAGCAATCAACTTATCTCTACCTCTCCATCTTCTTTATTTTAATTTATTTTTTTACTTTTTCTTACTAATTATTTATTTTAAAAGGAATTTCATTATACAATAAATACCATAAAAATAACTATTTTGTTATAATAAAGTTAATTATTGCTTTAAGCCTTATTATTGCTATGATAATCATAATATTTTATGACTTTTTTTTTGACAAATTATTTTTTAATTATTAGTACAATTGGTTGGTTGGAGTTTTAAAATGCAATCTATTGAGAGCAATTTTGTCAAAATAGTGAAATATCAATGAGAATTTCAAGTTTGTAAGGCTTCATATATTGGTTTTAATTTAATTGAGAAGTGGAGTCTTTGACCAAATTAAATCTCAACTAATAAGATCTCACTTTTATTTTTTCTCCTCTTTGATTGTGATGGTTCTCAACCTGCCCATAAGAATTTAGGACTAAAAAAAAGCTTTGTTTGGAACAGCTTTCTTACTGTTTTCTAAAGCTATTTTTTGAACAAAATTTTCTTTTTCAAAAAATTTTTGTACTAAAAAGTTGCTTTATAAGCAATATGAAAGCTATTCCAACCGAAACTAAAATATCCAAAGTCTTCATGTGAATTTTTTTTTGAAAGAAAATTAAAAAAATTATATATGTGGCTTCATGTGCATCATAATAGTGAAAATTGAAAAAAAATATATTTTAAAAATTGTTGCCAAAACCCATATTTAGCGCCGTTTTTTATCGCTACAATTTGCACCGATTTTAACCGGTGCAATTAGCAGTGGCTTTAACTGGTGCAAGTAGCACCGATTTAATCCAGTGCATTAGAAGCGGTTATAACTATCGGGATAACTAAAAAATTGTGCAGCGATAGCCATTTTTTGTGATTTGTGAAAGTAAGATTGTTGTGTGTATAATTATTATTCGCACCCAAACCCAAAACACCACCAAACATATCTTACCTACTAAGAAGTTGTTAAAACCATCTTCACACAATGATTAAATCACGATAGAATAATAACGAACTGTGATCGAACAATCTTCGAACGGTTTTCGTATAATCTAAATATGTTAACCATTGATTGTTTTATAATAGTTTTTGTTAATTAATCTATTACCAACCACTGAATGCTAATTAACTAAATTAAGGATAAAATATTCTAAGTTAATCTATATAAATTAATGATTAGCTTCAGACATATAATATATAATAACTAATTAGCTTTTTAATAAAACAAAGCTAGTATATTCATACTATCTCGTCTACCATTTGTTCTAATCAAAATTTAATCACATTAGTTATATTAAGTTAGCGTTTAAACTATTCCATAATTAATTATAGTAACGTAAACCTAATTCAGATTTGTTTGGAATAAGATAACATTCTAATCATCAAATATTTACTAAGAACTTATATATACGGTTTATATTTGTCCTATTTAATTACTTCAAATTGGAATTTAGACTAATTATGTTGAAATAAATAATTCAATATTAATAATGAAATATATATATATATATATATATATATATATATATATATATATAAAATTTGCTGTAAAGATTAAAGAAACAAATCGTTGTCCAAAGCCTTTGTAAAAAAATATTTGCTAATTGTTCTTAATTAGAGACATAGGAGTGATAACTCTGTTTGACAAAATTGCATCTCAAATAAAATGATAATCTACTCCAATCAGTTTTTCTATCGTTAAAAGTAGGATGGTAGCTTGATTATCGTTTCAGAATCTGGGGTTGAGCTACAAGAAAACAAAACTATTCAACAATACTTTTTTTGTCCCTATCATTTCACACGTAAAATGCAGTATAACCTTGTATTGAGCTTCAACCTTAGATCTAGCAACAATGGTTTGTTTTTTACTTCTTCATATAACAAAATCCCTCCCCCCCCCCCCCCCCCCAAAAAAAAAAAAAAAAATCTAATTTTTTTACCATTAAATCTATAATATTTTTTTAAATATAAAATGAGACATTATATCATATATTTTCATTGCATATTCATTAGTTTATTAAAATATTAAATTTCATTAGAAAAAAAAAAACTGCTATTTCAACATCCATAAAATGATAACATTCATTGGGTGCATGGTTGTCGGCAATGAACGAATTGCACCTAAATTTATGACAAACATCATAAGTCCAGTATTGATACAAAATAAGTGATGGATGTCAAATGATTGAAGATAGAGGAGTAACTGATCAAATCGGCTCGTTAGCTTACTCGAGCACGCCTTAATAAATGACTCATGAGTTGAGCTCAATAAACTAAAAAGTCAAAATTGAGTCAATCCCAAAGTCAACTCATTTAAAAAAATATTAAAATAATATTCAAAATTTCAAGTACAAAATTATAAAAAATAATTAAAATTATATTAGTTTCATATAAGTGATTCTTATTTTTTTAAATGATTTATTATGATTTTTTATCATTTTATCTCTTTCATAATAAATGAACTTTCACAAACGCATTGAATAAAGCTCGAGCTCGAACTCAATTAATTAGTAAAGCTCAAGCTTAAGCTAGAGATAACTCAAGCTCGGCTCGATTCATTTACACCCCTAATCAGAGATAAGTAACACATTATTCTCAAGAAAGAGGTGAGACTAAACAATAAAGAAGATTGGGAGGAGCTTAGAGATGAGAAATAAATTGATGACAATGGACTAATCATCCAAATGGTGATCTGAGTTAGCAAAATTCTTCATAATTCAAAAATGCTCTCATACAGTTTTTATTGAAGTCTACAAAACAATTATTAAATCAGATAATCTTAAAATTTTCCTTCCCAAATCAAGAAAATGATTTATATTGCCAAAAGTTATTAAATTTATTCTGAGATTAATTAAAGCTATCTATTAAAAATCTCATAACAAATCCAATAATTTTCAATCATAACCTTAAACAAATTATATCAAAATATCCTCGCATGTTTTTTTTTTTTTCATATTACATCAAAGTTCTGTATTGAGTATCCATACCCACACCCACCCATGTATCCACCCATACCCAATGGGTATGGGTATGCCCATGACCTTATGGTTGGATATGGGTGGGTACTTAATATTGGAGGATAAATCAATTTACATTGCTAATCATTATATATCTTATATTACTGCAACCCTCACTAAGTACTGTGCATTACTTAACCATGCTGCGACTACGATAAATTCTAATATGCAGCTTAAAAGTTTGTAATCAGAGCAAAGAGCAACAAGACTTAAGGACTTCAGTCCGTGACGGATTGGGTTCAAAAAGCATAGAAAGTGGGTGGGCGTAGGTGGGTATGACATCCCAAAAGTCACCATGGGTGAGTATGGGTGGGCAAAGCCCGTCCGCGTAAAATATTGGTATCCAATGCGTACCCAACCATGACCTCATGCAGGACTTTGCATTACATACATCAAAATCTATGAATAGAACCATTCATGCTTAGCAAAGAGAAAGTAGTGCCATTCTATCTAATAGGAACAAAAAATCATTACAAAAGAAGCACTAGAACTAAAATCAAATGAAAATCAGCTTAAAAAAAAAACCCTCAGATTTCAGAGGCAACTAGTAATTATCAATCACATTGCTTCTATTAGAATGTATTTTGATTCATCGTAGAAACTTCATCTTTGTCCAGATAAGCTACGGCTGATGATGAATTTGATGTGGATTGAACGACAGAGATGGACTGGAAGGGAATACTGGTGCTTGCTGCCCAACAGGGTTTCCCTGCTGCATTGAGTTAACGGGTCATTGCGGGTCTTAATGGTTCATAGTTAGATAGTGTTCATTAAATCATTATTAGGGGTTTACTGAGTCATTAGTAGTCTTTGTATTTTATAAATTCTTCTTCCCTTTTAGAAGAATTAGGGCATGTAAGGCAAGGCTCCCCTCTCTTTTCCTATTAAATTTCTGTAGTTTGCAGGCACCAACAGATTGCCCTTCTCAAGGGTGTCAATTTTCCGGGTCAACCCGACACGACCCGAATGATCTGGTGCCAACAAAAAACTGCTAGTTTTCGAGTCCAAAAATGGGTTAATCTCCTCTTTTCGGGTCAGAAATAGTTCAATCCCGGGTTGTCGGGTCAAAACGGGTTTTCGGGTCCAAATGAGTCAATTTCGAGTCAATAGGTCAACCGGACCCGGTTTTTTAAATGGGTCGAATTTTTGAACCCAAACCCGACCCGTTTCGGGTTGACCCTAACCCGAAATTTTTGAATCGGGTTCGAGTCGAATTTTCAGGTCATGTTAAATATTGACACCCGGAGCCCTTCTCTTCTTTTTCCTAATCTATTTTTGGAGTTGTGGACTAGCTTGAAGTTGTCTAATGATCTGCTTAACTATTAAGGTGATAGAAGAAGGTATTGTATGATTTTTCAGCAAAACTGAAAGTTGATTGGAAAAAACAGGAGAGAATATGAGCAAACCTGAGGATGAACAGTAGAAGAGGGGGGTTGAGAATCAGCAATGGCAGCCAGATACATGAGATTCTTCTGAAGCTGTGATTGGTACCTGCACATTTATGTCTGAATATCAGATTCTTTTGAAGCTAATCCCTATTCAATTATCCACATCAATCAAAGATAGAGATTTTACTGAATAAACTGAAAAGATAATGAAGTGCAAGAAAACAATTCAGCAAGATATAAAAAAATAATATATAAAACTCGAATTGGTTTGAATGAACTAAAAATGTTGGTGCTGATCAATAAAATCTTTATTTTTTTCAAACTGTTTGATAAATGATTAAATTATTATGACATGCTTGCTAATAAGCAATCTTTTAAAACCCTCATAGTTTTTTATTTAAGTTCCAAAGGAAAACAGAACTGAGAAGCTTTCTCCTAAGGATAATAAATGGAGAGAACAAAACACTAGAGAGAATCGAGAACTAAGAAAATAAATTAGAAAATATTTCATTATAATTATTTATTTATTTTAGTATGATAAATGATAAAATATTTTTTAAAAATTATCTTATGTACACCCTAATACCTTAAATATTCTCACATTTAACTGTTGAGTTAATTTTAACTATTACTTTAGATAATAAGACCAAATTAAGATATTTCTAATAGTAGGGAGATTATATTAGATTATGATGCACCGATACTTCTCCTCAAAGAGGCATGCAGTGTCCGACACATATTCAACACGACACACATTTGATGTGTTAGACAAACCAAAAATATGTCCGATTAAAAAACTACTAAATTCAAATTGGACATGTGTGTCCGACAAGTGTGTCTTCAACATTTTATGATTTTTTTTTAAAATCTAATTTCGTATATTTAATTTTTTATTTATTTTAAATATAAAAATTAAATTTCTTATTTCATATCCACAACAACAAATCAATCGTCCGCACTCAATATCTCAATCATCAAATATTCTCATTTTAATTTCTCTTTGGCGGTCCCAACTTTGGTTTCACAATAATGTCCGATGACATGTCAAAATCGACGTCTGACATCATTACGGCATCGATATTTAAAAATTATCTCAACATCAAAGTCTGACATTGATGCTCGACGTTAGTAATTTCTACACACACAACTTGACAACTCATATTTGTCTAACGTCATCTTAACGTTGACGACCAATGCCCTCTTAACATCGAACTTTTATTTGGTCCGGTGAACGTATGTAGAGCTACGTTCGGTCGGCACTAAAATCGCAGGCACAAAACGAGAAATACCGAGCAATACCAATAATAAAGAGAAATACCATTATGTGAAGACCAAATACCGAGTAATACCGAGCAATACCGAGTAATCCCAAAAAATACCGAGTTTTTTCTAGAAAAACTCGGTATTTTTTGGGATTACTCGGTATTGCTCGGTATTACTCGGTATTTGGTCTTCACATAATGGTATTTCTCTTTATTATTGGGAAGAGATTTCACAAAGACTTGTGGAGCTAGGATAACTGACATATGAGGCTCCAGCTCATAAATTCTTAAACCTGCTGCTTCAATAATTTCTTGAAATGTGTTTTTTTTAAGTGTGTTTTATTTGCTTTGTAGTTTTTTTTAATGTGTTTTTGTTTTACTTTGCTTTTAAAATTGGCTTTCCATATGTTAAAACTTTTCAAAGATTTTAGATTTTAGAGTTTTGAGGATTGTGTTTAGCTTTTCTAAAATTGGTTAAAGGAAGAAACCCGTTAATGGTTTCCTCCTTCGACTTATTTAGTGGTATGATTTTCTTCTCTAAACAAAAGCCTAACTCACTTTAGCCAATGGTTTTTGAAACTAGATTCTTTTATCTTGCTACAAAAAATTATCTTATCATAATATCAAAGTTCTATATATCTCTCAAGTTATTGAGATCTTGCTCTTGCACTGATCATATGATTCTTTAGTTTTTTTGTTGGTTATTTCTTCCCTATGTTAGAGAGAGAGCTCCTATTCTCTAATATTGGAGGATATACTCACAACTGAGCTTCTTTTAGAGTTTTTAAAAGAGCTTTTTAGCTTGCAAGAATTAAAAGGAAGAGGCAATGACGACAAATTGAAAAGAAAATATATTACACAAATGTGTATAAAAATCAAGATGCTC